CGTAAAAATACCGAAAGTGAAAATGCGCTCCTGTTTGCTTTAGCTAGCGTTACACTTGCTGGGGTAACTGCCGAATACCCTGCCACATCGAGCTTTTCACTGAAAATGGTTGACTACGCAGTACGCACAATTTATTTGTAACACGAATAAATTATGTAATTCAGTTTGAATTAATGATTTTCTGCGTACTGCGTAGCCGGTTAGGAAGAATTTAGTTCGAGTGGCAGGGCATTCTGCGGTGAAATCCACTTACATTACACTTGTTTGGTTTGGCAGTGGATTTCCTGGCACTCTAAAACAAGTGTCACGAGGCTACCCAAAGGGCCTTTGATTTTCAGTCCTTTAGTGTTAGGCATTAGTAAACGCTAAGTCAGCTCCCAATCAGGATATGCGAAATAGTGAAGTTTATGTTGCGTTTCGAGGTTTTTTCTAAACGTTCATGATATTTGTAGTAAATCGTTTATTAGCCAAGTTTGCTTGATACCATACTAGGAAAATATCGGTCTTTCATTTTTTGTTATGGACCTCACTGCACTCGGCCTGTATTGTCAAGATCTTGAGCCGATATTCCGCCCTTCAGTATATCTCTCGAGCTTGGCTAATGAGACATTCTTACACCACCACATAATATAGTTAAATTGACATTGACCTATTTGATCTTTTCCACTTTAATTTAAGAGTTTCGAGTTGGCGTTGAAACTAAAACAGTTTATCAAGATCCTGCCAGAGCCGTGAATTTTTTGGTATGGGAGACTCCTGACCGTGAAAGTTTTCGCTCTCTTGTGAGGCCGCCCTACACAGCAGCGGAGGCTGCTATTGTTGTGTATGACATAACACAGCAAGATTCACTTCGAAATGCAAGGAAATCGCTTTACAGACTTCGGAGTGAGTGCAGACCAAATATTTTCAAAGCACTTGCAGGAAACAAAGCAGACCTTGTTAACGAGAGGAAGGTGACGTTTGAGGTAATTTGTGTTTGTAGCCATAGGTTTATGTCAGGTATAAAATCTGCAGTTACATTGTCAAATCCAATTCAGTTGAGGAAATCCGTTATAATTTTTACGTACATTGCATTACATCGAGCTGAATTGTTTTTACTCTAACAAGTTCGTTAGCTAATCGGTATCAAGTTCCATTACAGGATTTCTACCTGCGATCTGCCACGGCAAGTGTAGACACAGAATTCTCATTTTCATCACTCACCTCTTGGTCTTCCACACAATAAACTCTTTGTCTTACTAGACGTTGCTCAGAGTTTTACTTTGCTTGCCTGCAGTTATCTATGGGGCACCGTTTGTAAATTTATCATTAATTTTACTTTTCGGTCGTTTTTCTATTGATCTCAGTGTTGGTTTATTTATGATAATTCATTAATTACCGTCCCTTGTCACAAATTGGTTATTTGTTAAAACCCAAAGTACAAAATTTGGTTATTTCATAAAACGATTCATCTATGTCAGGGTATTGGTTGCGTAATAAAACCATTTTTATATGGGTTTGTTATTAGAATAAAACCAATGTTGCGTTATTTAGTTATTTGATAAAACCAGTGTTGCGTTATTTGGTTATTTGTTAGAACCAGTCATTTGTTGCTTATATTAATTATTAGATAAAACCATTGTGGCGTTACTTAGGTCGTTACTCGGATATTTATTTGACGAATTAAACCATTATTTCGTTTCAGTGTTGAAACTTTTATCACTGTATCCCCTGAACCTTTTTTTGTGGGCATCTTACAACTAAAAACCCTTTGGCCTGTCCTTTTTACGTTTTGAACGACGTCAACGCTATTATTTCAAATAACCAAATTCAATTTTATGAAATTGGTTATTTGAAATAACCTTAGTGTCCCGGGGGGAGCACTCCCAGAAAAATCGGGTGGGGGTGTGCGTCCTGCTTCCTAAAACCCTTACCCTAATTATGACCAAAATCTGCGATATTCCCTACCCTATTTATGACCTGACCAAAAATTCGAAACCCTATTTATGNTATATCGATTTTAAGGGATAATTTTGGAAATACGACGCCGGGATCTTCCAACGTTTGAACGTTCAAGATCGCCGAATCTACGCAAAGTTTTAGCGGTGGCACTTACACTAGTAATATCAAGTTCAACACGTGCACACGTGCACACGCGCGCGGCTGATGAGTTACAAGGCAACTGCAAAACAAACTCCTTTATTTGAGGGCAAAGGCGCTCGACTCAACTCCTCGTAACTGTCATAAATATCAATATTTACAACGTAATTCGTAAATTTATTATTATACACATGATCTATTAGTTAAAACTATAGCGCAGCGAGAAATCTGGTACCCAGATTTTCACCGGATTGAAAGAAAATGTTCTGCTTGATTAATATGGTCTGGTTCCTTTACTGGTATAGCATGAACGATTAGGTGTCAATCTGCATTTGTGTTGTTTTAAATTGCTGGTGAACGTTTCATGATTGAGGGCCAAATCGTTTAAGAGCCCCTTAAGACACTTTAAGGAAGCAGCCATGACTGTTAAGAGCCATTCATTTAAATACACATTCTCACTTTTTTTTAAGATTCAAATCCCACTAAGGTTACATTGCGTTTAACCAGAATCGCATATAAACAACTCTCACTTCAACGAAAAACAAATAAACAGAAGAACACCACATTGTGTAGAGAAAATCTTATTGACATCACTCAGTGAGTATCTAGAGTTGTTTAAAATCAGAGTATAACGCTATGGCTGTGCTCTCTTCACGCATTAATGAATCTGACTTTGCAGTTGAGGGTCGCGCTCATAAGTAATGTGGGCCAACTCACAAAACTGGCACAAATATTGTCGAGGACCATTTTGGAACTACCGAAACCCTCTATTTCCCCACCCCCAATTCCTCCCCCTCTCCAGGGGGTGGGATAAAGGGTCAATTGTAATACATCCGTGGGCAAAATAAGCAATTTCATATTATCAGTTCATTCTGGGATAGTCCACTTGCGCAGTAACACGAAAAGTACGGTCTTGCACATCAAACGTTCCTCGTTTTGTCACACTACTCTGTACACGGATGTTTCATATCAAGCCTCTAAATGCTATCAAAGTAATAAATAACGAATAAAATCTAAAAATTGTCAAATCAATAATGTTAAAAAAGTAAATTATGACGACAATTCCTATGTAAATAACACCACTACTTATTAATCATTTAAGCTCGATTTGGAGTTTCCAAGCTAAGTTTTTAATTTCTTTAAGAGACAGCATCAGATGAATTCTTTTGAGCGTCCTCGCCAGGAGAGGAAGCACCTGCCACTCGTTCATCCTCATTATCCAAGCCTTCTTGTTTGTTATCGTTACCCTCCTCTTCTGTTGAAGACGTTCTCTTAGATGTCTCTTCATCATCATTAACACCCAGGTCCACGGAAACAGGATCCTGAGGAGCTTTGCCTTCTTTATCCTGTCCTAGTGATTCTTGTCCAGTGCTTTCTCCTGGATCTTCCAAAATCTGCGGTTGTTCTCTTTGAGGAGATTCCCGCCCCTCCTCGTTTTCTGACTGCTGAGGGTCCGGCTGGGGGTCCGGCTGGGGGTCCGGCTGGGCGTCCGGCTGGGCGTCCG